GTTTTTTATGTATATCCCTGAAATACGACTAACGATTAGGAATCAAGTTAATTCTTGACTTACTAAATTATTAAACATCGATCTACGTAAAATGTTCTAAATTTCGGAAGGTACGTAATCATCTTAAGTTATCGGATAATGGTTTTTCTAATTAGCAGCGAGAACTTTGGAAAATAGCAAGGATACCAAATCTCGATTAATTAAATTTATATTCGGCAGAAAAAAATGCGTTTTCGTCGTTTTCACTAGTAAGTAATTAAACAATTTGAATGTGAAGTGGAATTGTTTCAAGTTTCAAGGGTTGAATAGGTCATCGATCAACCCTAACAGCTGTTTCAACCAGCAATGTATTTTGATTAAAACTTGGAACACAGAGAGGACAAACAGACCGGAATGTGGATATGAAACGTTTACCCATTTGGAAAATAATACTATCGGAGAAAATGTGAGTGTGGTGAAAATGTGGAAACCTTTAAAGTGAATCAAGAGGGAGGAAAACTTCAACTTTCAAATTTTATGAAAAGACACAAAAAAAAACTGTATCGGGATGTTTCATCAAACCTGAAGAGACTATTGACGACGTTTGACTGGTTGGTCTGTGAGAGTTGTTAATCATTTGTGAGCAGTATATAACACGGATCATCTGTGGCATCTGTTGAAAACGATAGAAGAACTGAGTATACAAAAAATCTAAGAATCATAACAGTTTCTTTTAACTTTAGGATTGTTTCTGAAGAGATTTTGTTTTCCCTGTTTGATATGATCTTTATGTCACTATTTACCTTCTGTACTATTAAGTGTACTTAAATCTGTGTTGGTTTAAGTCGTATTAGCGGACTGAATGATAATACGTACCTGTTCGTCGTAATTTTATCCAAAAGGGCTGAAAGCAAGTTTTTGAGTTGAACTTCGAACACATTATCACTTCCGGATACGTTGGACGGCATTTCGACGGTCGGCTCTAAAAACGTATATTTTCCTTTGTTTAAATCAGGGAAAAGTGCCGGTGAAACGGGCCGAGTAGAAAGCTGCTCCCACCCTCACACTTGTTTCCTGATTCCGAGTGAAACTCGCCTATTTGGAACATCAAAGCAAGGGGAACCTCTTGACTCTGCGGACCGTTTCCAAACCTCCGTCCGCCCGGCTCCGCGACTCCCCCCGGGTCACCACTTTCTACGGGTTTTCTCTCTCTCCCTCTTCCAGGTGGTGAACGCTGTTACGGAACAGGCTCTGCGTGGGCGTGAAGAAGAGTGAAAACGCCTGTTAGGGTGGAAAAAAAAGATGTGGGATGTGAATGGGAAACACGAGACGTTTCCCTTTTAAAGCGTCGAACCGAAGCCGGGGTGGAAAACGTTGCTAGCAACCGGTTGATGTTTTTACTATGTGTTCATTGCATTACAGGAGCAAAATACGTAATTTATATATAAGCCCTGATAAAAAAAATCATAAAACTATAACGCTCAAACGCGCCCTTAAAGTTAAACGGAAATGCTAAATAAACGACAATTAATTATATAATAATAAAAGTTGTTAATCCAATTAATAAACCAGCAATACTCATATGACTGAAAACCAGCTCTACGAAAAAGATAAATGATCTTTAACATCTGCACATTTTTTTTTCAAAAACGGACAGCAATAAAAATCATCTAGGATACAATAAATAAACCGAACAAGAAAAAATGATATATCAATATTTTATCCAAAAGGTTAAACAATCCCAAGTTATCCCTGGTTGAAACATTTTATTTATTTTGTCTATTACATGGACGTTCGGGGCGGGACACACGCATGCAAATATATCTTTGGCAGAGTCCAGGTAAATTTATTTTTTGTAAATTACTTATGTGTGTATCTTCGGATGGCAATTGTACCATGAGGTTTTCCATGTTTAGGTTCTGATGATGGGCGGTAAGCTCGAAACGCCCATGTAATAGACAAAGTAAATAAAATATTTCAACCACGGATAATTTGGGATTTTTCAACCTTTTGGATAATAATTGCTACAAACCGTGGATTTTAAGAAAAAGATCAATATTTTAATGAATTTATGAATTAGTATATCTAAAAAATGGAGCATCAATGCGGATAGATAAGAGAACGGACGAATTGTCCATCCTATTTTTTAAGCAAAAAAAAGCTACAAGAGACAAACCGAATAAGGATTAAATACTAGAGCTTGGAGTATAGAAAATTGACCACCTGTTTTAAGTATAGGTACAAAAACTTCACAGAGAGAATAAATTATTAGAACGTGGAAATGAAACAAAAGCGAAGCAGCGTCATTAAGAGTGAAGAGAGAAATAGTAGAAACTTAGTTCAGCCTCTTAATTATGTATATATAATAAATGTTTTTGTTAAGGATATTTATGGACCTGCGTGTTTTCCTTCTTTTTCTACTTTATAAGATTTTTAAAAAAGTAAAATCGTCAACTATTATCATAATCTGACAAAATCACCTAGATTTAAATATGAAATCTTATAAATCCAAATAAATTTAATAATCAACATTTAATAATCAATGGAAAGCATGAAAATGAAAGTAGAATAATTAAAATTAAAGGCGTGGTAGAATATTGATTCATCCTGTCCCTTTTTGAAGTATAAAAACATAAACTATAATATTATATTACTATATTTAGTATCTCATTTACCAAATACTTCTTTCAATTAATTAACATTTTTTATGTAAGGTTTTGGTTGAAATGAGAAAGTTAGTGTTAGGTATTCGAACCCGTTGAAAAATGGCAAAAGGAGGAAAAATTCGAAAGGTTTTAGGTCGAGTTGAGGAGTGGTGACCGAGTGGATCCAAGTCACGATAGCTCAAGCGGTAGAGCAGCGGCGTATTTAGCCGAAGGTCGTGGGTTCGAATCCCGCTCGTGACACTAACTTTTTCATTTCAACCAAAACCTTACATAAAAATGTTAATAAACCTTAAAATTCACCTAGGATACACAGGAAAACCTAATAAAGCCAAATTATGTTTATCATTTAATATAAATATTTATACACACCCCAGCATAATAGTGAGTGGTTCAATCTAAATCTGTCCTGTCTATCTTTCGAAGTATGAACATAAAACAAAAACTGATAACTGAATATATTTTTTGGGGAAATAACGCAATTGAACGAGAAGAGAACAAATACTCTGAAGCTTGATTCTTCGACCACCTCGTATATATTGTCTAATATTTTTTGTATATATAAAGCCACAAGCATCAGGCCAGGACAGAACGGACGAAACGAACCTTAACGGTAATAATAGTTAATCCAGTTTAACAATAAATTTACAGAATTGAGTTCAAACATATTTATTCTTAAATTGATGTATTGGATCTTCTTGAGGTCATTTACAGGTGAATAAAAAACATCACTATTGGGTTTCACCAAGCTTTCGGCGAATGTTCCGCCATCTTCAGGGCCTAATTTATTGAAAACAAATTTACATTAACAGAATTACATAAAACATCATATACTCATACATTATAAGAATAAAATTACGTACTTCACCCAGTTTTTTAAGACAATTAAATTTATTGCACATGTTTGTTGTTATTTTAAAATGAAGGTGGAAATGAATCTACATACTGAAAATAAAAAAAATAAAATAAAGTTCCTTGTACATAGTGTAAATAATTAAATTATAATTCTAATTTAAAAAACAGTTTAAAAGTTGTTTATACATATAACTTATCTGTGATAAAGAAATACATGTACCTAAGATTGAGTATTAACTTATAAAGAGGTGGGACCAAAGGATGGACCGATGAGTGTCACTAGATTTTAAACAAGACTATTTTATTTTTTATTTTTATTTTCAGTATGTAGATTCATTTCCACCTTCATTTTAAAATAAGAACAAACATGTGCAATAAATTTAATTGTCTTAAAAAACTGGGTGAAGTACGTAATTTTATTCTTATAATGTATGAGTATATGATGTTTTATGTAATTCTGTTAATGTAAATTTGTTTTCAATAAATTAGGCCCTGAAGATGGCGGAACATTCGCCGAAAGCTTGATGAAACCCAATAGTGATGTTTTTTATTCACCTGTAAATGACCTCAAGAAGATCCAATACATCAATTTAAACTACGGAGGTCGATCAATATCAACTAGAATATTTATTCTTTTAAAATGAATGTTTCAACCATAAAATCAGTAAATATTTTTTTTATTTGCCTATTCAACTAAGATCATAGTGCGTTTATTATGAAATATAATTAATAATGTGTATGACAAATTGATTAATTACAGATAAAGTCATGGGGTATGTATAAGTGCCTGATACCGTTATTACCTATAACTATTCTAGTCATATTTAAAACTTTTTTACATTTTATTTTTAATTTAATGGCCTTATCAACTATGTTAGTAAAAGAGACGACATATTATGCGTAATGTTTTTTTTTTTGGGGGGGGGGGAGATATCGAGAAAAACAGTCAGAAGCGACGGTAGGCTCGAACCCACCGTGGGGACTAGGAAGGCTATGGTCTATGTATACGTTCTACGGCTATAGGCTATAATTTATAAAACTACATTTACGTTCTGACTGTGTTTTATAAAAAATGAAAATTGTTATTTAAAGCGTCTGTTCTGATATTTGAATTTTTATGATTTATAAATGTTTTAAAGTTTATAAAGATTTTCATATATTTTTGTTTTGTCTTCAAGAAGGCTCGTTGAATAAGGAGATAAAAGCTTTTAATAGGCCGAACTTGGTTCGGGATTTTATAAAATGAAGGAATTTAGTCGTGAAACAGGGGGCTAATGAATAGCTTAGTTAGACGCCCTTCAACAGATGGCTCAACGCTTGGGTAAACATTGTCATCAATGAGGGCCCAGAAGGGACAAGGACGGAGATAGCGAATGAGATAAATTTCAATATTCAAAACAGCTCGGTTGGGAGAAAAAATAATGAAAAAAAGATTTTTAAAGAAGGAAAACAAACAAAACAAGCATGTGGAATAAAAAACAAAAGATTGTCGTTTTGACTTACTCCAGTTCTGGATCCAAGATGAAAGATGTGGTCACACGGGTGGAGAAATAAAAAATATTATCTGAAACAAAAATAATACAACTGTCAATACACATGTGCTAGAAGTCAGGAAGAGAAAACTTACGATACTAAGCGGGCCCATTAGATAAAATTTTTAATCCTTGACAGAAGAAAATTTAAGTTTTATGATTCGACAATAGGCTTCAGCGATTGGAAACGGGCGATACCGAATATTCCTACTGAACTGCAAATGGTCCTGCCGCTATCTCAAGGACAATTAAACCCTCATTGACCTAATAAGTACGGGACAACGTGTATATCGTACGCCTAAAACGTCAACAGCCTGATAGGACAAAATGGCTGGAAGAAATTTCAGGATTACGTGACGTCGGTAATACACAGCTGTATCTCCGAAACCATTCACGGATTTTGATGAAATTTGTAGGGATTATGCGTGCTGGTTTCCAGATAGTCCCCTATGAATTTCATCGGAATCGTATAAACATAACCGCATGTAACGTGAAATCCCGTCACAGCTAAGTATATCTACGAAACCATTAGTCCGAATCTTATGTGATTGTCAGGGATTATGCATTCAATTTTTTGCATGCTTATGGTTTAATAGCTGCTTGGCTATTCGATCTTATTAGGTTTTTCTTGCCAATGTGATCTCTTTTAAGATTTGTTGGTGTCTTTTTCAGCTTGAAGGCTGAGCTGTACATCCCTAATGAGTTTGATTGCTCATGCTTGTACATAAAACGCCTAATTCGGTTCCTTCGTGTGTTTCGGAACTGTATACCATATCATTGTATCTGATGTTCTCTTGATTTCCATTGAATAGTTCTAGAAAAGACTATCGTTATTTTTACATCAATATATTTGGCCGAAATTATGCTGCGTTGGAGTTCCAGGCAGGGCCCAAGTATAACGGTTTATGTAAGTATGAGGAAAAATGGTTTGCGAGAAAGGCTAATCGTGAGGCTTTCTTATTCCTTCTTTTTTTCGACAATTTCTAATCGTGTGCCCGGGGATGAAATCCCCTGCCTGCTTCCTCCTTCCCGGGGTGCTTTCACTTCTCAACTTCGGCCGCTCGGTTCCCTCCCCCTTACACTTTCAACTCGGCTTACTTTTACTTGTAACAAGTCGTGGTTATATATGCCGCGGCGCATTAACATATCGTGAGACCCGGCCGGCCTGGATACGCCGTTTTCGCACAACTTCACCGTGAAACGCCGGGAGCTGAGTTTGTCCATTTCTTACGGGGGCTCGGATAGTTACTTTCTAATAGAACTGTAACTTCGTGGAGGCATTATGACAATTAGAATCAATGCTGGAGTTTAATGCAATTATTCGCGTAGGAAAGACCGAAAATAGAAAACGAAAATATCCAGAATGCGACCCCATCATACTTACGTTTCCATTAATCGAGTGAAACCGGGCTCTTTCAAACAGCAAAAACTTCAAAAGTTGGTAAACAGATGGAAAATCGAGGTAGAACTTTTTGTTTGAGCCGAAAAATGCTTCAATATGTTATTCTTAGTAGAACTTTCGAACCATTGTAATTAATTCAAGTCTTTCACACATAAACTCTCCCCCACAATCTCTTTTCTCCCGTGCTCTCGCTTTCTACATGCTACATCTTATACATCTTCATCCACTCTCTATACCAATGCATATATTTGCTCTCACTCTCTCTCTTTCTCCCTCCCTCACACTCTCTCTCACTCTCACACATAATTGTTGTCCTATCTAACTTTATACTCTAACTTTCGTATCAATTTCGCACCCTATTAACCCTCTCTCACTCTCTCGCTCTGTCTATTTCACTCTCTATCTGACTGACTGTCTGTCTGCCTCTCTCTCACCCACTCATTATTTTTCTCTCTCACTTTCACTCCCCTCTTTCATTGCTCTCTTAACACACACACTCTCTCTCTCTCTCTCTCTCTCTCTCTCTCTCTCTCTCTCTCAGCATTGTTGTCCTCTCACAGTCTAACTTTCGTATCGATTTCGCACCCTCGCAAATTAAAATTAAATAAGTGATGCACCTCCTGACTATCTCTCTCACTCACTGACTCTTTTTCTCTCTTACTATCAATCTATTTTTTTTTACATTCTGTCTATTACCCTCTTGACTCTGTCTGCCAGCCTCTCTCTCTCCCTCTCCCTCCCGCTCTCTCTCTCTCTCTCTCTCTCTCTCTCTCTCTCTCTCTCTCTCTGTCTGTCTCTCTCTCTCTCACACTCTCTGTCTGACTGTCTGTCTGCCTCTCTCTCACCCCTCACTCTTTTTCTCTCTCACTTTTACGCCCCTCTTTCATGCACATTATTTCTCTCGTCTCTTTTTTACATTCTGTTTATTGCCTTCTTAACTCTCTCGCTCACCTTTTCCTCTCCTCTCCAAAGTTCAACGTTCCAATCGGGAAAAAATATTGTCAAACTTCCATTCTGTATTTAAAAATAAAAGGATCCTTTTTTTCACCCTTTCATGAGAACATCAGAACAGTCAAGTAATTGATCGGTAAATAATAAAAGAAGATTGAACATAAAAGATAACTGAAACAACAGTAAAGAGGATGACAGAAGAGAATAGGATATCGAAGAAATTAGTTTTTATTTCTTTTTGGATTCAATTTAAACGGCCCTGTTTTATTGACAATAAGTTTCTAAGCAGTTCTTATTTATAACAAGTTTTTCTAGTTGTCGGTTCACTGAGGAAAATAAGATAAGAATATCAATATATTTTATTTTAGTTTTACAGCATTGCTAATGCAACCTATGATCTGTTTGTAATAGTAGAAATTCTGTAAGATAAAATAAATCGTTCTGCATTTGAGTTTTTTAGATTTCAATGACCCCGTGTATATTGCTGCGCAAAACGCGAAACGTGTTCCGAATAATTATCTTATCAAATGAGGATGAGTATCAACCTAATAAAGTCGAGAGTCAGACTCATGACATTTCCTCGGTGACTTCGCGGAATGATTCATCAAATATCTAGTCCAACGATTATTATGCCCCTTACGCAATTTATTTTTGGACTCGCGATAAAAGCCAATCACCCTGTCATCTTCCTATTGTAAGGATTTTTATTTTTTCCTTCTTCAATTTTTCGTTTTGGGTCGACTTTGACCAACTGACTGATCCCGATCATTCTCTAAACTCGTGTCAATCATAGAGTACGAAACTAATATTGTATGTATTTACAATTTTTACGATCACTGGAGAAGAAATACGGTAGATAAGAAATGTTCTGGACTAGCCCTACACCCGGTTTTTTATTGGGGGCCCTATTGGAACGGCATGGCTTCAGGTAGCCATCCTCTCTCTCGTCTAAGTATATACACATATTTAAAAAAAATAAAAAGGACCCTAGTGGGTACGTCTTTTTCTGAAACCTTTAGACCGGATTGAGGGTCTGTGAGTTTCTGGGGACCGATTCGAATTCTAGTCTACAATAGACCCAAGAGGATTCGGCAAGGATTTCACCATTCTATCCAAAAGCAACGTGTACAATTACGACCCAAATGGGCAACAACCTGGAACATTCAGGAGTCCCAATACCTCCATTGAATTTTGTAAACCTGGCCGAGGACGAAACCGGTCAAGGTAAGAATTTTGTGTAGCTGAAATTTTTTGTAATCAATATGCAAATTTACTAAATTTTCCAAAATCGGACATACATTGACATACATGTAAAAAAAACACAAGAGAACTTGGTTTAAAAATACACCACCAGTTTAAGAAAAACAATAGGTAAACAACGATACCACCACAAAAAAAAAAAAAATAAAACTTTAACTTTTTAACTAATAATCGCCCGAAGATAGAGTCTGTTGATCCGAACTGTGGGTTCAAATTCCACCAGTGAAACTTTTCCACCTCAATTTATCTCAAGTAAAGATAAACCAATCACCAATAAAGTAACTACTATAGGAATGCAGTACACATCTTANAATATGAGAGAGAGAGAGAGAGAGAGAGAGAGAGAGAGAGAGGAGAGAGAGGAGAGAGAGAGGGGGGAGAGAGAGAATCAGGGACGTATTGATAGAGATAAAAGAGAAAATGACAAAAAAATCGATTAAACTTTAAATAAACGTATCAAAATAATTATGAATCAAATTTATATCAACAACAAAAAATCTGTTATTATTTTTCAGCTTAATGTCGTCCAATATGAAATGAGTTTGTCATCGTTTTTGTCTTCAATTATTAACAATATCTTTGCCGGCGATAACATAAAATATTTAGACCGATTGCAGCTATCGATAATAACATTCTGGACTACTTTTTTTCATTTTTGTTTTTGTTTCATTAATAAATTTCGATGTGCTATTTATGACAATCGAATGTCTGCTGTCGAAACTTTATTTTGGCTGGAAGAACATTATCTTCAAAATCATTTTCGGCTCTCTTTCTATTTCTTCCATCCACAGGCCATAAGTATAATCAGTCTCGAAGAAGTCGTCCGAACAGGAAAAAATGATCCTCAAAGAAAAAACGTTCTTCCAGGTGAATAAAAATGAAGGCGGATATGGAAATGGGATGCTGTGTGACCCGAATGACTGCAAAATATATAGACCCGGCGTAATCTACATCTACTCGGGACCGGTTGTCGCTAACGGGCTCTTGGAAATAAAACCGAAACGTTCAAATAGAATTGATAATTACAAATATAGGTCAACATTGCTCGTTGTACGCGGGTGCACATGTCGCCTTTCAAAATTCAAATCTCCAGGAGAGCGAGACGCCTGCCAGATGGGTCTCGTTCCATTGTGGCTCGCACCTGCCTCAGAACGGTCATCCTACCAACGACACCTGCGAACTCCTCATCCTCGGAGGGCCGCAAGTCTTAACAGTACAAGTCGCTTTTAGGCCTAAGCGTACCTGGAGTCTCTTTGAAAACCAATAAGGGACTAGAGAATAAGATTTGAAAGCTTGGGCAAAATGTGTTTGAATAGGAGGATTTAGCTCAAAACTACAGACAAAAAAAGATGTGCGACAAAAAATAAATTGCAAAAATACTCTTTAACTTGTTTAACAAGGATGTTCTATACATTGCAA